CTCATTTTCCCTTTCCTTTTGCAGGGTAACTTTTCAAGGTAGAGAATACTTGGTGGGTAGTTTCCCCTTTAAACACTATTTCATCCATTCCTTTTGATTTCTTGACCCTTGTAGTTGAGCTGTTTTTAAAGTCTACTTATACTTCTTTCAGGATTTTTTTTCATTTGGTTTTCTGCAGTGTATAAGACTATATAATTCTTTGGCTTTTATTCTGTTATGTTTTCTATTCTCCCTGGATCTCCCCTCCCCTCCCTCCATGCTGCCCTCCCTCTCTCTCTCTCTCTTTCTTTTTTGAGACTCGGTCTCCCTGTTACCCCAGCTGTCCTGGAACTTACCATGTAGACCAGGCCTTGATCTCACAGAGATACACCTGCCTCTGTCTCCTGAGTGCTAGGATTAAAGGTGTGTGTCCCCATACCTGGACTTCTGAATCTATTTTTGTCTGTCATTAATTTAAAAAAATATTCACCATTATTTCTTGAAGTTGTTACTTTGTTTCTTTCCTCTTGTATAATAACTATGCAGAAGTTTCACTCTTTGTAATTGTACCACAACTCTGTAATAATCTGTTCTTTTTTGCCTTTGTATTTAAATTTTAGAAGTTTCTATTGCTCTATTTCCAAGGTCAGCGATTCTTTGACTGTAATCAGTTTACTAGGTACCTATGAAAACATTCTTCATTTCAGTTACATTTGCTTTTTGTTCTACAGTTTCTTTGTTTATTGCTTCATTTCTGCTTTCTTCTTACACTACCCATCTCTTCTAGTATGCTGTTCACTTTTTCAGTAAAGCTAATAGCATATTATTAGCTGTTTTAAACACTCAGTGTGATAATTCCAGTATCTGTGCTATGATGGAGTCTGGTTCTATTTCTTGTTTTATCTCTTCAGACTGGGTCATTTCTTTGCTTTTTGTTGCCTTTTAGTATGACTGATAAATTTTTGTTAAAAATGCCAGAATGCATACTAGGTAAAAGCAACTGAGGTAGATACATCAATAGTGTGAGGTTTTATGTTTAACTAGGAGGTAGGCACTTCTATTAGTTGTTTTCTCATTGTTGTAACAAAACACCTGATAGAAGCAACTTGAGGAAGGAAGGGTTTGTTTTGGTTCAGGGTTTGAAGGTATATTCGACCTCAGCAGGAAGTGTATGATGTACAGTGAGGGCAGCCCTAGCCATGGTCACAGGACTGTGAGGCAGCTGCTCATGCTGCATCTGTCCTCAGGAAGTAGAGAGATAGATGCTGGTGTGCAGCTCACTTTTTATTCAGACTGGGCATTAACTCAGGGAATCTGCTGCTTGTATTCAAGTGCTTCTTTTTTCTTCAGTTAATTGTCTCTGGAAACATCCTCACTAGACACTCCCAGAGGATTGTCTGTTAGGTGACCCTAAACCCCCTCAAGTTAACAATCAAGACAAATTGTCACAGTATTATGTTGTTTTCTGTAATTGGGTTGTCTGAGGCTAAAATTTTCTATATTGTCTTGTTTTAGTCTCCTTGGTTGTCTGAGTTTTTCTTTTAGTGGCCATAAGTTAGGCACGTTATTGCTTCAGTCCTGCCTTCAGCTGCAGGCTTTGGCTATTGGGGTTTTGCTCCTAGTAAGCCAACTCTCCACCTCTGCTTGTTCTCCCCAGTTGCTGGGGAGCAGCTTGTCCTGTGTGCTCAGTCCTCTGATGAATCAAAGGAAGTTGTTGGTTTGCTGTTTGTTTAATATATTTCTTTTTTGAGGGGTGGAATAACTACTTTTAACCTTTTTGTATACTAGACTGTAAACTGGAAGTTCTCATATTTTTTATTAGAAAGAAGATATTTTAGAGTATGTTTAGTCTCTTAGTTCTTTTTTTTTTTTTATCGGTTTTTTTTTTTTTTGGTCTTTTTGAGACAGGATTTCCCCAAAGCTCCAGCTGACCTGGAACTCACTATGTAGACCAGGATGGCCTGGAACTCACAGAGATCTGCCTGCCTCTCGTTCCCAAGTGCTGGGATTAAAGGTGTGTACCACCATACCCAGCTTATTTTTCATCTTTAAGCAAAGTGACCAGTAATATTTGAATGCAAATGACCTTCTGATAGAAATACTTCATCGCTGGGGCTGGAGATATGGCTCAGCAATTAAGAGCACTGACTGTTCTTGCGGAACACCCAGGTTCGATTCCCAGCATCCACATGGCAGCTAACAACTGTCCCTAACTCCTGTTCCAGGGGATCCAACAGCCTTTTCTGTTCTCTGTGGGCATTGCACAACATGGGTGCACTTACCTACATGCAGGCATAACACTCATACACATAAAATAAAAATAATAAAACATTTTTAAAAAGAAATACTTCATATCTCTTTTGAAAACAGTCTTTTTTTTTTTTAAGATGAGACTACATTCCTATGCAGTCTGGAAGGCAGTGAATGAATCCTTATATCTTCTTTCTAATTCTTGATACATCAATTAGAAAATATTGTTTTAAAATTAGAAATACGTAAGTCTCCTCCAAGGCTTTATGCAGAATGAACAGGGAGGAAAATTCATATCCTATATTAAAACATCCTTAATGTAAAAACTCACATTGAAGTGTTCTGGGACTAGTTGTGTAATAGGCAGGCAAGTGATATCAAAATGTTCTGTTAAATACTACTCAATGAATTTGGAGGGCATAGTGCTGGGACACTGTGCCCTCAAATAATTGCCATGTGTTCTATCTCTTTGGAATATGACTAGAGTGGAGGAAAGCATTCTAAGCTTAGAGAACTGCCTTAGACAAAGACAGTTTAGTCTTTGGTTGCTTTTCTCTATAGATAGGAATTGATGAGCAGAGCAAATTAGACAAGTTAGGTAGTGTTTCTCCAACTCTTAATAGATTTATGATTTTATTATTTGGATGGAGATGGTATAAATTCCAGAACAGTCACTTGTTTTATAGGACAAATTCAAGCACATTTATAATTTGTAAATTATCTTGTCAATGAAAGGAGAGAAATAGCTGTGATCTGGAGTTTATATTGATACAAGGTTTAAACTGCAAAAAGGCTTAATTTTTTATTTATTAAATTATGACAAATATTTTTCATTGTGGTAGAATTTGTATGGGTTTAATTGGTTTTGTTGTTCATTTATAAGGAAACTTTATGATTTCATAAGAAGTTTTCAGAAGTGTCAAGCCAGTCATTTTAGCTAATCTCATTTAGTTAAGCCATTTCTCTTGACATAACAGACCATCATTACGTTACTTCATATATACTTTCATGCCCAAACTTATATTTTCAGTTTACTCTTCCAAATGCATGTTATTACTTTTCTAGTGAAATTATAGTGAAGTTATCATTTTAGCCACTACATTGAAATGCAGGAATATTATTAGACTAATAACGAGAAGATTATTACCTAGATTTAATGTAGTATCATGAATTTTGAAATTGCCTTTATCAGCCAAGATAAATTTTTTTACGTTCATCTATTATTCTACTTCTAAAATGAAATGAATGTATATACATAAGAGAGTTTTAAACTCCTGGAAGAAAGCGGGATAAAGAATCTAGATGAGATTACTGAATATGGACCAAAGCAAGTGACATTTTAATTTTCTTTTTGAAAGCCTCATTTTGTTTCACAAAATTTTTGACATATTATTTTGCTGCTAAAATTATCCTTTGATGTATTTTGCATGATGATGAGTAAAGATGTTTGGGGAGGAGAAATATTCCTTATAATAACCTTTAAAGGGCTAGAGAGATGGCTCAATAGCTAAGAGCACTGGTTGCTCTTGCAGGGACTTGGGCTCCATTCCCAGCACCCATATGGCAGCTAACAGCTGTCCATAACTCCAGTTCCAGGGAATCTGATGCCCTCTTCTGACCTCCGTGGGCATTGCACAACACATGGGCACTTAGATACATGCAGGTAATACATTCATACACATAAAAATAATAAATAAAAATACGTTTAAAAATTATATATATAACTACCTATTTGCTCTTATTCCAAGCATATGTTTCCTTGCATTTTTCTACCTTTGGAGAAATTATATGTGAGTTTTATATTGCTGCTACAGTATATTACCAATAGTTTAGTGACTTAAAGCAATATAAATTTATTATCTTATAATATTGTAGGTCAGAAGTCTAGTAGGAGACTCATGAGAGTAAAATGCAGGTTTAAGATGAGCTGTTTTAGGCTAACAGAGAAAATCCATGTGCCTATTTGGGTTGTTTGTAGAATTCAGTTCCTTGCAGGTATAGAACTGAACTTTCATGTCTGTACTGGCTGTGAACTGAGGGCTAGCTCCCGTCTAGAGGCCACAACTCTTGGTCTGTGCTTTTTTCTCCACTTTGGAAATTAAAGCTAGTTGAGTCCTTCCTACTTTGCATCTCTATAATTTTTCATTTTTAAACTTACATGCTTAGCTTGGATCCACCCCATTAATCAAGGATAGTATTTTTCTCGAAGTCCTTAATGTTAATCATATGTACAAGACAACTTAGCATGTAATATCACTTATACAAATGTTCAGGAATTGGAACATAGACATCTTTGATAAGACCGTGTTTCCTGCCTCCCATACATGTAGTATTGACTTCATTCAATCTTGCCTGATCAGTTTTCTTTTTCTGCCAATAGTTCTTATGATATTTTCTTCCTTTAGTGAATTAAGAAAAGTGTTGAGATTCCTATTCTCTAGGGAATTATATTGGATATAATATCTATGGGGAAGTTATTAAGTGAAACAGATGCTGAAAAAAAAATCCAGATTATTCCTTCCCCAAAGAGAAAGTCTTGTATTTTTCTTTGTGTGTGTGTGAATTGTAAAATCTGGTCCAAATCCTTAGTACTAAATCCCATTCATACAACAACAGAAGGCAAACCATTATAGGTAATTACTATGAGTCTCTGCGTGGTATCAAAACTTTCTAAGGAGAGATATTTACTTAGAACAATAACTTTCAATAATTTATTGAATTTGATAATGGATGAAATTGCATCTTAATGTTTATTTTTTTTTCCTTTTTAGATTATCACAAAATATGTTTATGAGCTCCTGGAAAAAGACTGTAATTTGAAAAAAGTCTCTATTCCAGTAAGTCCAATTTTAAAAATGTTTATTTCGAATAGAATGTTTAGCTCATGTAAAATGGTTTTCAATTCAGAAGAATATTTGTGTTTTATATTAACTGTGATAAGTTAAAAAGTAAAGATCCTCCCTGTCTCAAAAAAAAAGACCAAAAAAAAAGTAAAGGTCCTACTGTATTCATATTGATAATTTAATACCTGTTAGTATACTTTCTCTATTTGTCTAAAAGATTTCACAAAGTAATACTCTTCAGTGTAAAAGAAAAAAAATACTAATTTCCTTTTGGTTTTTAAGATGACGACAAAGGAATTATCTTTTACCTCTTTTCATTCCCTTGGAATGTTTTATTTATTTATTTGATGTAAACCAAAGTATTTTTATTGTATTATCACTAACTCTTTAAATGTCTTTTCAAGTATATTTTATTTCTGCACATTATTTCCTCTACATGGTCCTAAAGTGATTTTTGATTTATAAGACTGCTCCTTTTCTTTCTGTCAGAACACTGCTGGAAATTTTGCATATTTTTCTTTAAGAATTAAAAAAGTTTGAGATTTGTTCTTTTACTCAAATTCCAAACAAAAACACTTGTCATTTTAAATTTACAATATGAAATATTAAGCTTTTCAAAGGAAGAAATAGTAATCTAATATGTGAAGTGTTGGTTGGACTAGCTAAGATGGCTTTTGCTGTCTGTGACAACTCTCTGATATGATATATAAAAATCCATAATGAAAGTGATTTATTTAATATATAAAACTTTACATATAGATAATTTCATTTGTATGAACCAAACAAAATTGTGTGTCATGTTATTTTATGATAAATTGAAGAATTTGAAGATATCTTAATTTTATGGATCCTTACCATTGATTTCATAGATCATTTCATAGTTCATCAACTGCTTTACATTTAATCTTCTATAGGTAACCTCTAGTGATAGATCATATTGTTGATTCATTCAACTCAAAAAATGTTTATTGCAAATAGCCTCCAAAATTCTAGACACTGTGCATGTGGCATAATAGAGAATTAAACATTTCTGTGTGTTATAGCTAGTCCATCCCTGGATTTATCTGAGAACTTACATTCTTTTAGAAATGCTTGAAAGTCTAGATTTTATTATCTTTTTGACAATGAGTATGGCAATACTTTTGTATTCCAAATTCTTGTTTCAGCTTTGGCTTTAGGCCTACTTGTTTATTCTATTGATACTAAATATCGTTGAAAGTTAAATTTTCAACTTTGAGTTTCTGAAGAATGATAAAAACTATCATATTAATCCATCAAGACAAGACAATTCATATTTAGTCCTCTGATATTAATATTCTGGCTTCATGGAGACCCTATTACTTCCTTCATTTGCTAGATCTAGAGTACAAATCATAAGGTAACTGGCTACATAGACCATGATTTATGATAGATTCTCATTAATATTCTGTAGAGAAAATCTGTAGTAGATAGAGGATTTTGTTTTATCAATTTGATTTTTCTTATTTTAAATGTAGTGTACAAATCTGATAAGCACATAGAGAGATTCATACTGTATGAGACCTAAAATAAGCATCATGTTCACTTTTGGTTAATAACATTTTCCTTATTTTGTAAACTTAAAAGAAACTAATTGCCGTCTTGTCTAAATGATCACATATTGCATAGAATGTAGAATTAATTGTTCAATAACTTATTTTTCTCCTGGGTTTGTGTAGATATGAATTGGCAATGAGAGTGTCTATTGCTTTTTAAGGGGATGTTCTGCTTTACTGAAAGACCATTACCAAACGTTTCCCCCTGATAATAAACTAAGTTTTAGTTTTCTGCTTGAAGGTGGAGTTTATCCCTACTTACAATGATAGCATTTTGGGAAACCCATGATTTGACAGTAAAGATCATGACCGTGACTTAAACTCTGCACAAGCATAAAACAATAGCACAAAATGTTCAGAGTTCCAGTATCTGTTTGTACTCCATCACCCCACAGTAATTATTTGCCAATAGTTCCTTGTCTAGGGTTTGGGCCTGCTGCCCATTTCCTGCTCTATGCTGGGTTTTTGTTTGCTTGAGTTGGCATGGGTCTTGTGCATGCTGTCACCATTGTTACAAGTTCATGAGCATGTTTCCAGAGACCTAAAAGTCTCTTATTTCCTTATGTTCATGCACCAACTCTGGCTCTTACAATCTTTCTGCCTCCTCTTCCTCAATGGTTCCTGAGTGGGTGAGATTTACTGTAGGACACAAACTATACAGTCTCTTATACTCTAAAACTTAGCCAGTTGTGGTCTTCTTTGTGTATCACACTCTGTTATATGAGGAAGCTTCTTACACAGAGACTATGTGACTGAATAATGTCTAGCCCTAAGTGACACATCTATATTTGAACCTTTGCACCCAAGGCTCCTGGAACATAGTGGAATAGGGGGTAGAGAGAATACTAATACATCCCTCAATTCTTTGACATTTTTATACATGTATATAATGCATTCTGGTTGCTCTTACTACCCACCTTCTATTTCCCTCCCACCTCTGTCAACTTCCTCTTCCTTATAAATCCCTTTTTCATATTCATATGTTTTTGTTTTGCTTTCTGAACCACTGCATTAACCAGAGCTATCTGTGTGACTATGGATTTGGAACTGACCATTGAATCCTGCTGGACTCTTCTATGGTACCTAACAAGATGACAGCAGTCCCTTCCCAGAATCTACCAGCAACCAATAGTTCTGGGGTAGGGTGCCATCAGTCCTTTCCTGACTCATGATTGACTAATGGCAGGCCCAGTCCTGTGTAGGCTCAGTGGAGGCAACCTCAGTTGCTATGGGATCATGATTACAATCACTGTGACATACCTGGAAGATAGCATTCCACTGTCCTTCTCCCTGTCTTCTGGCTCTTACATTCTTACCATCTCTTCTTGTAGTGTTCCTTGAGCCTTAGATAAGGTAATATAAATATTCTGTTTAATAACCTTTGGGTTTTAGGCACAAGATTATTTACCCATGCAACGTATTTCCCTTCTAGTTCTTTTTTTAAAAGCTTACATTTTTAACTGACTTACAAAGGAATATGTTCCCACGTGTGTTTTTCATACACTTTTTACTTTGGTTATTGCTCTGTACTTTCCCCCTCACCTTCCTCATCTTCCCACCTCAACCCTGCTAAAACATTTCTACTCCCAGTATTTTCTATTTTTATACCACTTATATTCTACTTTAGCCCCTTCCTTAAGGCATCCCACACTCAGATGACCTCTTTCTATGTTCCTGGCTTTTACTGGTACTCCAAGTTAAACACAGAAGTGTAAAGGTTCAAAGATGGGATCCACAAATAAGAGAAAACATGCTGTATTCATCTTTCTGTGACTGGGCTACCTTACTCAGAGTAACTTTTTTCCAGTTCCATCTATTTACCTGCAGATTTCATAATTTCATTTTTCTTTATAGCTAAATCAAATTCCATTCTATATATAGGCCACATTTTCATTATCTGTTCATCAATTGATAGACATCTGACCTGATTGCATTTCCTAGCTATCTGAATACCACAGCAATGAACACGAATGAACAAGTATCACTGTAGTAGGATATAGAGCCCTTTGAGTATATACCCAGGATTTGTATAGGTGGGTCATATGGTATTTCTAGCCTTTTGAGGAGCTTCCATACTAATTACCAATGTGCCTGTACCAGTTTGCACTCCTACCAGCAGCAAATGAGGGTTCTTTCCCATGTTCTCCCCAGCATTTGTTATTTGCTTTCTTGATGATAGCCATTCTGACCTGGGTAAGATGGAATCTAAAGGTAGTTTTAATTAGCATTTCCTTCGTGGCTAATGACGTCTAATACTTTTAAAAATATTTATTAGTTATTTGTATGTTTTCTTTTGAGAACTCTCTGTTGAAATCTATAGCCCAAGATTTAATTGGGTTATTTATTTTGTTGATATTTAAGATTTTTCTTTTAGTTCTTTGTGTATTCTAGGTAGTAATCCTCTGAACAGTTTAAATACTTTGTTTCTAAAGGACATCAATGTCAATGCCTAGTAAGGTTCCTTTTTCATAAGTTTATTCATTCCTTTATTTATTCAGTATCTATAAGATGCTAGTCTCTGACTGAGAATGTA